CAATTAGCCAACAGAAAACCATAAGTTTTTTTGAGTGGCTTTTCCGGCTGTGATAATTATCTGATCGTCTTTTCATCATTGGAAAATACACACCTATACTCTTATCTGCAAAGCTATGGCAAATGCCCACGATTTGATTACCAATTAATTTATTTCCGGAACAAGTATTATTGATGGCGGCTTTGAAATATTTTCCATGATTAAATTAGTAAACTACTCCTAACAGCTGCCCGCTAAGCAGCTGAGATTATGTGCGATTTGCAGCTGGTTTTTTATGAATTTCAAATCCCACATAAATGGTATTTGACATATGCAACCGCTACGCCGACATCAGACAAACAGTTGGCGTTTATACTCTTTAAAAGTACCCCACCAGGGCATTCTGTATATAAAGACATTGTGCTCAAATTTGGAATAATAAAACAGAACTACGTATTCCAAAATCTATAGTCTACCGATTCGCTAAAATACAGAAAAAAAATTGTTAGGAGATGTACAAAAATCTATGCACACACTACCCTTTTCGTAGATAAATCTGAGTAGTAGGTATCCCGTCGTCGAAAGTCGAACGCGTTCTGATTTGCTGTTTGCGCATTTAGCCAATTTATTAGTTTTGATTTACCGTCCACACCTGTTGTCCCCTGCCACAGATGAACAACATCAAATGTGCATTCCGATAATTCCTTTCATTTTGGCCAAATACGAGAGGAGCAGAGGCCGCGGCTGGGACTGGGACTGAAGAACGGGAAACAGCAAACATTCGTGAAATTGGATTGTTGACGGCATACATATCACTCATGCGACGCGTTGGCGGCAAGGGATAGACCTCGACTCTCGACCCCATCTAGATTGAACCCTTGAACGGCTTACAAACAGAGCCGAACCGCTCAGGCCAAGTGGTCGGGCCCTGGCCAGCAGCTTCTGGCCATTGGCCATAAATATCTTCGCACTGAGACTTGGGCACCAGGTCCTTGGTCCGTCGTCCATTGTCCATTGTCCATCGCCGTCTCCCTTTGCAGCAGTTGACTTTTGTCGCATTGGCGCTTGGCCCCAGTGGCACGGACTGGGAGAGCACTTGCTGGGTTTTTTACGGTCTCGAACGGTCCCACAACTCAATTTGAGGCCAACAGCCCACTGTCCGAGTCCACAGTGCGTGCCCCAGTGGCGGCCGGAGGAAGACGGCACAAAAAACAAAAGCAAAAGAAATATAAGAATTTGTTGCTGTGTGGCCAGTGGCGGCGTCGGGCAGCTTTTGTGGCAGCTCTCATTGTTTTCCCGAGCGTTCCTCTTGGTGTTGCTCCAGTGGTTGAGGCTGCCGCACGACAGTTTAACCCCAGCACAGCGTTTAAGCTGCACAAGTTCCGAGCAAATCCCGCACAGATACATAATTCTTTTCCGCACCTCAAGTGACAGAGATCTCGGCTTAGTCCGTGCCGTGCCGTGCCGTTGCCATCTTAATGTTTAATTTTTATGCCCGCTCCAGGATTATGCAGAGTCGGAGATTTGCCTAATTCCCAGTGCTCGATATAAAAGATATATAATAATTTCAGCAGTACCTAGAAAAACATACAGATACAGATAGCAGAGAGCAAATAAATAATAGAAGGCGAGCGGAGCAGCATAACAAATTGTCAATTTATAAAGTGAAAGTTTGAGCCGGCTAATGGATGCCAAAAGTTTAATAAATAATAAATTAACTGAATACTTTGTGGCTAGGCCCTGGCCAAAGACCAAAACAAAATATGACAAGGAAATGAACGGAAAAGAAATGAAGGAGTGGAAAAGTGAGGAAATGCGAAGAAAAGCCATAACAGTCGCTGTCTCGGCGGAGCAAAAGCTGTCATAAAAAACAGCAGAATACGTGAAAAGGCGCAAACAAAACTGGCAGCAATCGGCGGCAGCAAACCGCAGAGCAGGTGGCAAGGAGTTGAGCTTGGGTGGGGGGTTGGGGCGCCGGTGCTGGCCGCAGGGCAATAGCTTAAAATTAGCTATAAGCAAAATTACTGTAAAATGGTTTAAATGAGTGTAAGGCCAGAATATAATAAGCCCAAAAGCAGCGCCGAGTGGTCCGAAACAAAAGAGGAGTGCAGGAGCGGCCCTGTGGGTGGGCTCTGCACCTCCCAAGGGGCATGCTGTTAAATGAAGAATAAAGCAGAAAATACAACAAAATCAAATGTGAAAGGCGAGCTAGTGCCGAGCAATTTGATACCCTTGCAGGGTCTGATCTCTACCACACAAGAAAGACAAGGGATGTATGGCATACACCGTCCTAGTATCTGCTAGACCGACAATGATTGATCTTCACTGTGTTGTAAGCTGAAACTTGTTTAAATTAGTCTAATTACAGTTTCGATCCTAGCGCAAGGCTGATCATCAAAGGGTCTCCGCTGCAAACATCTTGAAAATACTCGCCTCCTTGCACACTCTGCAAGGGTATAAAAAACGGCTGCCTGTCTTTGTGTTTTTGTGTCTGATGGCAAACATATTTTATGAGTTTTATTGTTGTTGCTTTTGGTCCTGCCGCTTTCACCCAACCACCTCCTGCTGCTGCCGCTGCTACTTCTGCGGCGTCTCTCGGCGCGGCTGATAATAAAACTTGGCCGCTGGAAGGCACCGAAACCCGCTGGGAGCATAATCGAGCCTTTTACATTGGCCCTGGGTGATTGCATGTGTGCGGGTGTGGGTGCCCGTCCCCCTCTGCCTGTCTGTCTGTCTGTAACTCTGTCAGTGTGTGTGAACGCTGCTTGACTGGGTATATATGAAAAAAAAGGATACATACTCGTACGTGTATGTCAAAGCAAAGCCAAAACATTGCCACGAATTTAACACACACTTTCAGATCTAATTGATTATTTATATAAGTTTATGGTTAAATGAGAACAATGAAGGAGCACAAGGAGCACTTTATGCACCATTTTGTGGTAGTTATGTGTAGGTCCACAGCTAAATTTCGAATAGGGTACGTTAGATCCTAAAAAAGGTTTCCGTGAGACTGCCAAGACATTATATTTTTCCTTGTACTCCTATTGTTGGCTTGTTTAAGAAGATGAGTAATCATAGAGTCTATACGCTTCATCGATCTAAGGAGTCCGCTCGAAAAATACTACCTACCAGATATATCTCCTTATAGCTATTATTTATCATATTTTCGTATGTGAAAGGGCATGAAAAAGTGTGCTTTTAACAGTAAGAGACTTACAAGGGTGGATGAGGAGCATGTATCGCATCCTTTATATTGGCTCACGTTGTGTTGTCTTCGTAGCCATTTTCCTGCGCTTGTTTCAACGAAATTGAAAATGCAACGGGGGTACCCGAGACTGGAGGCTGGAAGCTGGAGGATGCTGGAAAGTTGAAAGACGTAACTGCGACGAAGTCGGGAAGCCACTCCATGGGCGGCTGCACCTTAAATACCGGAGGAAACTTCGACATGCCTCATTAAGGATACACATTCGGAAATTGTTGAGCTGGCAATCGGCAACATAAAATAATAAGGATGATAATAAAATAATGCTGCAGCTAACAATATTTAAAACTTTTTCACCCCAAGGCTCATCCTTTTACCCAGTCGTAAGCCAGATAATACAAGTATCATCCAGTTATGCTGATGTTTAATATACTTTTTGTATACACGTTTTTGGCTGCACTCTCGTGTGCCGTAGGGCGTTGAAAAAAGAACCTGCAAAAGGATTGACAACAGCAGGAGCATATTTAAATTGCTTTTGGGTACCTAATAAAAAGGCAGTAATCAAGGGGGACGCAGCCAGGACTGGAGCGAAACTTTAGTTTCACAAAGTCACAAACTTGGACATGTTGAGCAAAAAACAAAAAATAAACTAAAGTAAAGTAAAATGAAGAGGAACGGAGAGAGGAACGGGAGAGGAGAAATATGCCACTAGGATATGCATGAGCAGAAGCTTATGCACAGCATAGCTCATGAGTCTTGCATGTCGCTGTGCAGTTGATAGTTTCTTTCCTCCTGGAGATGGCATTGGACCCAGGACCCAGGACCCAGAACCCAGGACCCAGAACCTGGAGCCGTCTTGCACTTATCCAAGTGCACAAAGCAACTAAGCAAAACACTCGTTGCAGCCAACTTAAGGCTAATTTAAGTGACTGAATCTGTATCTATGTATCTGAATGGAGTATCTGGGAGAGCACGAGTATGTGCATTGTGCGTGTCTCTCGCTCTCCATGGACCATCTCCGACTCTTACCTGCCCAAAGTGTCCCGGTTAAGCTCCTCTTCTGCCTTTGCTGTGCTGCTGTTCTGCTGTTCTGCCATCATCAATGAAAATCCTCGTAAATTATGCAAGCCTAGGAAAATAAGCTGCACTCAAGTGCGTTGCCTGCCGACGACTGCCGGTTGCCGGGTGCCTGGTGCCTGGTGCCTGGTGCTGACTGCCGATGCCATGCATCCCCACTTCTTGGCATCACCTTCAGCCTCTTAGCCGAGCATCTTTTCTCTCGCTGCACTTTGAGGCCGTTTCACAGGGCGTATGCGTGATATTAAATGAAATTACATAATGGCCACATGCAGCGCTGCAGCATGTAAAAGGCTCACGGAGTAGAGCCAGAGCTCTCAATGCTTAATCTTCTCTGTGATTGATTACTTCTGATCCCGGTTTTTTAATCAAACTTATCTGCACAGGAAACGATGCTCTTTTGTAGCCAGCAATTATTCATCTGGCAATAAAAACGGCATTTCAGTCTTCGACAACATCTCGAAAGCCCGATTCTTGGCTTTATCGATCTGGACTGGGTATATCAATCGATTTTAGCTCAATTACATTGTTGTGCCAACAAAAACCCACATAGTAAATTAACCGCAAACATTTTCCACAACAAAGCAGGTAACCATTCATTTCAGTCGTACGAGTATGTCCTTCAGTAGGAATGGAAGGATTTTTGGAAGGAAAAACTTGCGGTTTCTGCATGTCAATCCTGACTATAAAAGACAAGGTAGCATTGGGCACCCATCAATTGTTTACTGGAATCGCAGACATGTCGGTGAAGTTTCTGAAGGAAAAGATTTTCAGTCGACGGGGAAAATCCGAGAAGCCAAAGAATGCGTACATCGTCATTGAGGACTTCATGAAGCTGCCGGTTTACTTCTACCATACGATTGGTCTGAACCCGTACGAGTTGACGGGAACCAACAATAAGCCCGGAATTGGATTTCACATCCTGTTCCTGCTCCACATGATCAATGCGAATTTTGTGCTGGCGCTGGAGATATTCTTTGTTTACGTGTCCTTCAGGAACAACGAGAACTTTATCGAGTCCTGCATGGTGATGAGCTACATCGGCTTCGTGATTGTGGGCGATCTGAAGATCGGCGCCGTCCTCCTGCAGAAGCAGAAGCTGACTAATCTGGTCCGCCAAATGGAGTCCGTCTTTCCGCCTGCAAGGCAGAAGGAGCAGGAGGAGTACGACGTGCGTCGCTACCTGCGTCGCTGCCTCCGCTACACGAAGGGGTTCGGCGGACTCTACATGACACTCGTCATCACCTACAATTTGTTTGCCATCTGCCAGTACTCCATTCAGAAATGGATTCTGCACTCGCCGCACGCCAAGCAGACCGTCCCCTATGTGCCCCTGACTCCCTGGACCTGGCAGGACAACTGGAAGTTCTACCCCACGTATCTGTCCCAGTCGATGGCTGGGTACACGGCCACCTGCGGTCACATCTCCGCCGACCTCATGATCTTTGCCGTGGCCATACAGGTCATCATGCACTTTGACCATCTGGCCAAGTCCCTAACCGAGTTCTCGGTGCGGGCACAGTCCGAGGAGGATGGCGCTGACAAGGACTTGAAGCAGTTGCAGGAATTGATCGCCTATCACAACAAGATTCTCGGGTGGGTCTCCAGATACCACTACCAGACTGCTTTCACTCTCACTTTCACTTCCCCCCTTAGCCTCACCGACGTGATGAACGAGGTCTTCGGCTTGGCGCTCTTACTGAATTTTTTGGCATCGTCGACGCTGGTCTGCTTTGTGGGATTCCAGATATCTATCGGCATCAGTCCCGAAATGCTGGCCAAACTGATTCTAATTCTGATCTCGGCAAATTCGGAGATCTATCTAATCTGTAATTTCAGCCAGATGCTAATCGATGCTGTAGGCTATGTCTTATCGTTAGGGTTTTCTCACCTTACCTTCTTACCTTTTTCGCAGAGTGGCAGCATTTGCTATGCAGTCTATGATATGAACTGGTCGGAGGCCGATCCCAGATTCCGTAAGATGCTCATCGTACTGGCCCTTCGCGCCCAGAAGCCTGTCTGTCTCACGGCTACTGTCTTTTTGGATATCTCCATTGAGACCATGAGCATCGTAAGTGCAACCAAACGAGTGTCCCTCCAAATTCGTCCTGAAATCATTTCTTCGTTTGTCAGTTTCTGCGGATGTCGTATAAGTTCTTCTGTGCAATTCGTACGATGTATCAGTAAATCAAATGGATTATATAAGCATATATCAGATTTTAAGTGCACAATGTTTTTAAAGCCATTTGGTTTTAGTAGAGATTTTCGCACTATATCGCAATGCTTTTGTAGGATATGCTCTTTCATCAGAGCCATTAAAACAGAAACTTTTTCTTAGCCGCCAGAAGTTCTGGTCTAGCAGTTTTGAAAACAATTGATAAATAATAAATCGGATTTATGAAGTGTGTTAGTTTTCTTTGTCTATGGAGCTGTGTGCCTTGGAAAATCTCGGAATGCTTTGGTGGTGGTTTTTTATCTCCATATCAATTTTAAGACATCATAGATAAAAGTGCACGAGGTAGGTAATATTTTTGTATAAAATATGTAGGAAAAATCATGCTTTAAAGGTGTTTTCAAACAGATTAAACGTGTCACTCCATTTACACGTAAATTAATTCCATACAAATTTTAAAAAGATGGCGCTGAAAGCCGTGAAAGTTTTACGAAATGTTGTGTCGTTAATGAGTTAAAAGGTTCTGGGTTTCGCAGATGGAATTATGTCAATTAAATAAATGTATTTATAAAATGCATTGTAATGCTTTTAAAGGATATGTACATATGTGTTAAAGGACATGTATCCAATTTGCTGTCTTCAGGAATCAGCATAGTACGACTGAAAAACTAATGGGTTTGCAAACATAAGAGATTCTTTTGCATTTACGGCTTATTAAACCGAATCAGAAGTCTAAAGCCCCGACTCAGTCGAGCGTAGAGAGTGCACTCTCAGTAGTTCTTAAATACAAAATGACGGTAAACTTTATTAATTAGATTGATGTAGTTTTATGGTACTTTAATAAAATCAGGCAGAGCCCCCCAGAGCTCGGAGGCCGCGAATCGAGTAAGGCCAAATGAAAAGCCATGAAGAAAAGTGATTAACGTGGGGAAAAAATGGAAAGAAAAACCAACAAGTCGTAAACATCATAAGGCGAAAGGAAACAGCCGTAGACAAAGGCAAAAAACTGAAGTTTAAATTGAAATTAAGGCGCCTTAAAGCGACGTCACAGAGAAAGAAGAAAGAAAGGAAGAAAAGCCTGGGACTGGGCCTGGGCATGGGCATGGGCATGGGTGCAGCCGGAATTCAAAGTGGAAAAAAGTCACAAAAGTACAAGTAAGAGGAAAAGTTGCACAAGGTGAAGTACCAAAGAGGCAACACCAAAATCGCACAAGCACATGCACGAACACATGCACACCCACCCACACACAGACACACGAAAAGTAGGCGTTGCACGGTCGAAAAACTTGAGCCACGTTGAACTTTGGCCTACGGAGCTTGGCCGCGTTTACCTTGGCCGTAAACTTGTCCGGCGAGTTGTTGGCAATTAGTGCACCTTTCACAACGAAGCTGTGTGTGTGTGTGTGAGTGTGTTGGTGTGTGGGCGTGGCCATTTAATTCATTTTCACTGGCTGGCACCAACGAACACTGTCGCTTTTGCACACAATTTCTCATTCAGAAGTGTCCGTGTGCCGCGTCCCTCCATCCCCATCTCCATCTCCATCTCCATCCGCTACCCCAACCCGCTCACAAGTTTGTAATTCTTGGCCTGTTAACAAAGTTCATAAATACTTGAGAAACTTGGTTGGTTTTTCCCTTTTCTCCCCCCCGACAGCCCGACAGCCCGACAGCCCATAGTCGTACGGCTGCGGCAAAGGATAAGCGAAGGATCCTGATTTTGCAACCTCGTAATTGCCATTGTAGTTGTTTCTCGCCGAATGATTCACGGGCACAGGTGAGAATCGGGCATTTCTGCAGTTCATTATCAGCTGATTGACCGAATGAATAGTCCTCCCCACTCGGGAGAGTCGTAAAGCGCTTAAACCATTTGCAGTTCGCTTTATGGCCGGCTAACTACCAATTTTAATGGCTGCCACCACCATTTTGTAAGTGCGCGGCTATAAAATTGAACCGACCATATTGAATACTTAGTTATATACGAGTATTTCTCGCAGCTCGGGGAACAATTCCACTGCCTGCAATTGCAACTCCACCTCCACCTCATCAGCAAAACCAGCAGCGGCAGCAGAAGCAGCAACAAAAACAACATGTTATCCTGAAACTCTTTCAATTGAATTGCGCGGAGCAGTGGCTATGGCGAAAGAGGATAGCTATAGGTGAAGCCAGCCAAGCGTTTACCAATATCAATGAGATCTCCAGAACCCCAAGCCCCTTCTGTTCCGCCCTCCGGCGAGCATTTGAAATTTTAATTATAAAATATTGCTGCCAAAGGTTCGTGCCATCCATAGCGCTAGACGGTGCTCGGTGCTCGGTGCTGGTGTGCTCGATGTGTGCTTTCAAAGCCACTGACAAGGTTACAGTACTCTACAGATAATAGCAAAGATGCTTAGCGTGTAAAATGATACGAACTATTTTTGTTTGAACTATAAGTTATTTGACGTTGACTCACAGTAATTTGGATTTCATACATCGAATATGCATACCAATACATATATTCATACATAAGAAATTATACCAATATCATGTGTATATTATGCATTAAGAATTGCTTCAGTCCTTCAGTTAGGTATATCTTAGTATACATACTCCTTTATATGATTTCTTTTAATATGCGCAAATATTCTGCAAAAATCTTGTACTTATATGTATTGTGGCCTTGCCATTGTAGCCTGTAGGCACTGTACTCATGACTTCCCATACTATGTGTAATCTTGTTACCCGCTGTACGAGTATCTATGCGCCATGACAGCAGGCGGCTCGCTCGGGCTTGAGGCATTCCGTCGATGGTTCGTTATCTGGCATTTGGAATGGGGCTAGATCAATGTGGCGCAGGTGAGCAGCGTGGCACAGACACATGAACAGGCGCAGGTGATTGTGCAGCGTCGATGCTGGATACTAGTAGGTGGTCGACGGTCGATGGAAGATGGTAGAGTGGGCGTTTGCACTACTTCAAAAAGTAATTGTTTGCGATTTGGAGAGTGTGGCGTGTGTCAGGAGCTGGAACAGGAACTGGAGTGGGCTGGGATTGGGATTGGGGACATGGATTGGGATGCATTCGTCCAGCACCAGGATGGCGAGACTCTTGAGACATTTGAGTGGCCGCTTGGGCTGCTGTGGGCTGCTGTGGGCTGGGTGCGGGCTGCTACGGAGAATTAGTAGGAGTAGGAGGAGCCAACGATGACAGCAAACGAGTTCCAGTTAAAGCTGCCCCCGAACCGCCTTGGGGCATAGTTCTGACTCTGATTCTGACTCTGACTATTACTCTAACTCCAACTCCAACTCCAACTCCAGCTCTCCCTCTCTGTCTGTCTGTCTGTCTATGCTTCTTTCTCTGTCTCTTGCTCTGTTCGTGTCCCTGTCTCCTGCCCTGTTACTGTCTCTGGCAGTGACTTTCGTTTTAGAAACGAGTTTATTTGCAGTCGAAATATGTCCCCAGACGGCAACAATAGCAATTAGTTCATTGTCAATAGTTGGCTCGTTGAAAATTTCAACTCTGGCAAGGACAATTGCCGCCCGTCAGCGGGTGGGTGGGCTGTGGGTAGTGGGGCAGTGGTGTAGTGGGGTGAGGGGACAAATTTAACTAAATTGTAATCGGAATATGCGCATGCAAATGGCATTAGCCTGAAATGCAAATTACTTTACGGCATGCCAGTTGCCAGGGCAGACGAAGGATGCCAACAATGACGATGTCTACCAGGACCAGGACAACGGCAACGACGATGATGGGGCTGCTGATGCTGATGAGGATGTTGCTGTCGAGGAATAGGTTAAGCACTCTGCCTCTCGGCCTGGTTGCAGTCAAATTGCAAGCGATTAAGTGAAGTAAGCTAATTAATTTTGCATTGTGTGCCATCCAGGAGTTGACCCCCATATCTCTCCCTGTCTCTGTCTGTCTCTCTCTGTCGCTGAATGGGCTCCACTATCCGATAGGAACTCATACACATTCTCACGGAAATTGGGAATCCTTTGTGAAAGGCCCATCGTCTGTTTACTTTTCATTAATTGAGTTGGCAAAAGTCGGCCATAATTTCGATGTGCCTGTCGCGCCTGCCGGCCATTAAACAATACGACAATCCCAAAGAGTGGCCGGGCCGGGCCTGGCCTTCGCCAGTGCTGCCATGGTGCCGCGCCACAAAACTCCCAACCAACCCCACTCCACGCCTCCCCTCCTTGTGCCACGTTAATGATGTCGTTGAGTGTCTTGGTGGCAATTGCGCAAACTTTATATTATCGGCCCTGACATGGCCCGAAGTGCATTTCCCCGCTGAAAATCCTTTTATTTCCGCAGTAATTTTATGTATTCCCATTCGGGAGCGGGAATATCGCGAGTTAAGGTTAACTTGCCTTCCAATCGATATTGCACTTCTGCTCTGATTGTCCAGTCCGTCCCTCCGTGATAATGCCCTTTGGGATGGCGATGGCGATGTCGATGGCAATGCCGTTGCATTTGCCGATGGCTTAATGTGCAATTATCCAGTGAAAACTTGTAAATTTTGAGTATTGTTGCCTGCTTAAGACAAGGCCCTGGCCAAAATGTTCATAATCCAATAATTGCGAATAGCTTGTTATTATTTTGAAACAAACACACACACAGGACTATGGAATTTCAATTTTCAGTCCGTGTTTTGCTTAATTACAAGTTGTAATTTCCTAATCGAGTTGCTCCAGTGCCCACACATTCCGCCTGCTACATTCGGCTCTTGTGGCTTTGACTTTCCTTATCCATGGCTCTGTTATTGCTAACCATGTTTATCGAATTCATTGGCTCTTCTATGACTTCGGTGCTTTCAACTGTTGAAGTTCCTTTTGACGTATAAGCATGTCCTGTCCGTTGAGCTTGAAGACATTTATGCAGATGGAGATGAAGATGGTTTTTCCTAATTGCAGAAGAGCTTTAGAATTTCCTCTTTATTCTCCAAGCTGTCAATTTACATTCTCTTGGAGATTTGTGTTTAATGTCAGAACGAGATTATACTTTATGCTCAAACTCGTATCTGTAGTGGTGTACACTCAC